TGTCGTTACAATCGGGAAATGATTCTCTATCATTTCATAAGAAATCCCCCCCTCCCCTCCCCAACACCAGGAGACACCTCAGGATTGGGGGTTGTGACAGTCAAGGGATTAAGCAGAAGCGTGCGATTGCTCGCCGCATCATCCGTGATGCTAAACGCACTTGCTGGCGAGATTATATCCACCATCACCTCTGTTTCCTGAGTGCAGTCTGGAAAAAAGTACAAAAATTGATTGGTAAATATTCTCCTGACCTGGCTCCTGTTCTATGGGTTGCTGGTGTTGATATAGCAAACCCTCTAGATGTTGCAAATAAAATTGGCAATCATCTGGTCCGTATTTCTCTGGGGGCTCCATCTATGCCCCTCCTTTCTTTCCTCAAAGTCTGCCAGAGAGTTAGCACCCTTGGACTTCACTTCTTTCAGAGAAGAACAGTATAATGTGCCTTTTACACTTCAGGAACTGGAGGCAACACTCTCAGCTTGCCGATTGACAGCTGGGCCCGACGACATCATATTAATGTTACAACATTTACATCAGTTAGCTCTTGCAGTCCTCTTATGCCTTTTCAATCTTATTTGGTCAAAAGGAGTTCTTCCACAGCTGTGGAAATCTGCCATTGTTCTCCCTTTCTGCAAACTAGGTACTACGGGACATGAAGCCTCCCACTATCGTCTCATCGCTCTTACCAGTGCAGTTTGCAAAGTGATGGAACGTCTGGTAAATAGACGTTTAATGTGGTATTTAGAGACACAAGTCTCTCCACTCGTCAATATGGCTTTCGTATTGCCGTTCTACCATGGACCCCTTACTACGCTTGGATACATAGGTTTGTAATGCCTTTGCGAATAACCACTCGGTTATTGCCATATTTTTTGACCTTGAGAAGGCATATGACACAACTTGGAGGTATAATATTTTGGCAAAAGCCTACTCCTTAGGCCTCTGAGGCAATCTACCATCTTTCCTCAAGAACTTTTTAACTGACAAACATTCCTGTGTTCGAGTCAATAATGTGCTCTCCCCGGACTTTGTCAAAGCTGAAGGTGTCCCTCAGGGATGTGTTCTGAGCACAACACTTTTTCTCCTTTCTATAAATGATTTAACCTCTGTTCTTCCATCCAATATTTGGTCATCACTCTGTAGATGACTTCGCTGTTGCTTGTGCAGGCGCTGACTGCCACCTCATTAGTTTCTCTCCAGCATGCGGTCGACTGTGTTTCCAATTGGGCCACCATGCATGGGTTTAAATTTTCCAGTGCAAAAACTCTCCAAATTACTTTCACTAGACGCTGTCATCTCCAATCATCCTTTGTACCTCTACGGCTCCCGTATACCTGAAAGTGATAGTCAGGTTTCTAGGCCTTCTCTTTGACCGTAGGTTATCCTGGAAACCCCACATTACCTCTCTGAAGGCAACTTGTTACAGCCGGCTGAACCTTCTTAAAACCCTTGCTCATCTTTCATGATCGTCGAAATCTTTCGCCTACATTCAGCCCTCATTTTATCGAAACTTGATTATGGTGACCAGATCTATTCAGCGGCCTCTCCTGCTTCTCTCTAGCCTTAACCCCATCCATCACCAAGGATTACGTTTATGCCTTGGTGCTTTTTGCTCTTTCCCTGTTGGGAGCCTCTATGCAGAAGCGAATGTTCCATCCTTGTCTGATCGCCGTGATGCCCATTGCCTTCGCTGCTATGTACGCCCTCATGATCTCCGCAATCCTTCCATTTATAGAATGGTCACCGATATTAGTAGACATTCTTTATTTGTTCGCCTCCCCTGTTTGCTCCGTCCCTTCTCTCTTCGCCTACATTCGCTCTCGTCTTCCCTTCAGTTACCACCTTTATATGTTCATGTAGCATCTCATTTTTCCCTACCCCCCTGGGAAGTTCCAGCTGTTCGGGTCTGTTGTTTCTCACTCCCTTGCTCGAAAGCCCAACTGCCTACGGTGGTTTCCCACTCTTTCTTGACCACTTCCACTCTCTCATGCCATCGCAGTGTACACAGATGGCTCTTGTCTTCTGACGGCGTCAGATTCGCAGCAGTGTTTCCAAACAGCGTCGTGCAAGGGCATTTACTATCTTCGGCTAGGAATTTTACTGCTGAATTGTATGCCATTCTTGCAGCACTTGTTCGTATTGCATTTATGCCTGCCATCATTTGTGGTTGTCTCAGACTCCCTTAGTGCTCTACAGGCTATACATAAATTTGATACACCTCGCCCCTAGTTCTCCGTATCCAACTTTGGCTACGCTGTATGTCTACCTGGTCATGCTGCCGTACAAGGCAATGAACAGAGGCACTGCTGCGCGGGCAGCAGTACATGACCTACCAATTTCATATAGAGGTGTTCCATTTCCGGACTATTTTGCAGTAATAGCTAACCATCTTCACACCCATTGGCAATAACGTTGGTCAACTCTACTCGGTAACAAACTTCATTCTGTTAAACTGAGCATAGGTTACTGGCCGTCTTGTCATCAGTGCCGAAGTTGGGAGACTACTCTCTCCCGCCTTCGCATTGGCCACACTCGTCTTAATCATGGGTATCTCATGGAGGCACCCTGTTCCTCTCTGTTAGGAGTGTCAAGTTCCAGTATCGATTAGCCACATTCTGTTAGACTGCCCCCTCTATCAACGAGCACGCAGAATTTACCTCTGTCGTCGTCTCCGCTCTACTATTTACCTTCCCTTCTTGCTGATGGACCCTCCTTTAATCCTGTCAGTCATTGACTTCTTCACAACGACTGATTTACTCCACAAACTCCGATACCTTTTGCACTCCCCTCAAACCTTTCTACCTCATTCTCTTGCTGCCCTCTACCCTTGCACCATCCACTGCCCTGCTGTTCTCTGTAACCTATTACTCATCCATCTCCCTTTTGCCACCTGATGCCCTCGCTTCCTTCCTGCCCTGCAGCACTATATAGCCCTTGTGGTTTAGCGCTTCCTTTTGATTATAATAATTCATTATCAACGTGCAGTAGAATTTAAGGTACTGCATGAAAATTCTTCCTTGTCTCACTAATGGTAAAATTTCATAGGAAAAGAAAAGATGTGATTAATCATTGGATAAAATGTATGAAAGGCAGTGCTATAAATGTGCTGATCAGTAGATGGCTTCATTACTTTATAACCATCTCCAAACATCAACAAGTAAAAGAAAAAAAAAGTTAGGGAAACACATGTTACTTTTCAAGCCTATTTTATACTCGACCTGTATATTAAATTTATAACAATCATTGGCAGTATATTAGCCATCTTTTTCCTCCAGATGAGCACCATGCCCATAGTCTTTTCAAAGTAGATTGTATACTGCATCAGACAAGCTTCCCATGGAAGTTTAGGATTTGGATACATAACATACATTTCTGGATCAACAAGCAACATCTGCAATGGATTTTGTCAAAATGTCCATTGTTTTTTCAATGTTCAAATTTATTGAACATGCTGAGAACTTTTCAGCATATGTATTTCATAATGGGAATGACAGAGCAACTCTTTCTGGTATGTAGTTGTGCAAGATATCAATGTAGAATCTCTTATTGCCGGATTTTAGTCCTTAAGTAGCCCTTGTGGCTTAGTGCTTCTTTTTTATTATAATAATAGTCCTTATCACTTTGACTGTCGCGGCCGTATATATACGTCTTACGAGGTACCTTGTTTGACGTATATATACTCATAAATTCTAGCGGCTTCAAATCAAGCAGGAGAAAGCTGGTAGGCCCAGTTGTGAGAGAATGGGTCTGTGTGGTCAGTGTGCACCATATAAAAAAAATCCTGGAGCACGCAGTGCATAATGAGAAAAAAAAAAACTGCGACCGTTTTTATTTTAATTAAAATGCCGACTGTGGTCTATTTTCGTATATTTATGGTTGTATTCTTGTTTTCTTGGTCTCATTTGATAAAACGGAAAACATATTATAGAAATAGAATTAATTTTGATTGATTTTACTATAAAAAGAGCCTGGAAATCGAGCTCAAAGTAGGGGAAATGTTTGATTTTTGCCAATGTTCAAAAGTAAACAAATGTCATTGTGCAATAAATGTCCAACTAGCCATTCTAATATGCAGTCATGAATGGGTTGACATTATTTATACAATTATTACAATATTGCAGTAGTCTGCATAATAGTAAGTCTTCTATTTTTTGTTTGAATAAAAATTCAAAATAGAAAACAATAGTAGTATCAGAGGGGCCTTGAGACATGACTGATGAACAAAGAAAATGTTATTTTAGAGCCAGGAATGTCTGCATTGTTCATTCTGGACCTTATTTTAAAATTGTCATATTTTTTAATTTTCGTGAAATTGGCCAAATTGCAAATTTCTGACCACATTATTGGGTAGTTGAAATTGGTAAATGGGCAGTTTCTTGTACTCAGTCGATAGAAAAAATGGAGTTCTAAAGAAATCGCTATGAGTTTGGTTGACTGGAACACCGGAATTAGCCGAAAATAGGGCTCAAAGTGGGCGAAATCGCTTATTTGTAAATATCTCCGAGGTTGCTAACTTCGCGAGAGCATAATTCCGTCAGTTTTCCATCAAATTTCGTTTTTTTGGTGTCATTACAATCGGGAAAAGATTCTCTATCATTTCATAAGAAATTTTTTTTTTTTTTTTTTTTAAATTTTGCAACACCAGGAGGCACCTCAGGATTGGGGGTTGCGACAGTCAAGGGGTTAAGTGTTGTGGTAAGAGGATAGGTAACTTAATGATAAATTAATTGTTGCAAGTTAAGAATGGAGGTGGGATATGTTGTGGGGGCTGAAAATGTAAATCTTGGTCACTGAAGTTGCTTTACACAGGGCCTAAGAATTTAAAAAAAAAGAATTTCAAGTCTGACCAAGTAAGTGGGTTGATTTTATGAAATCTAATTGTTGCTGAGAAGTTGGTAGTGATATTATCATGATTTGTAGAAAAAGTTTTCTGTTGCACATACTGTTAGATCTTATGCAGTTTTAAATTTTTTTTTTCTAACAAGTTTAAATATTTCCAGAGTATTGGTTGCACTGTGGAAGGTCAGAACCCACACGAGATCATTGAAGGAGTTGATGATGGCAGCATAGAAGTGCCAGAAGAGTAGACATTTTGATCACCCACATTTTATGCAAGGGAAGGCAGGCACTGTCGAGACAAAGCAAACGAAGCGCATTCCTAAGCTAGCATTCCATGTAAAAGGACCAGTTTGTCTTGCATTTCCAGCTGATAATAAATTGTGATGCAAGTTTTTTTTTTAATACCTTACTCTGAAAGCTTGTTCATTTGTATTACTCCTATATATGAACTCTTGACAATAGATTTTTCTTTGATTAGTCATAAATTTAATTATTTGCAGTCTGTAGTTATGCCAGTATTTAGTCTTAAATTTGAATAATATCTTTGTGAAGCTGAAAGACTTGTATTTTGGGGCACATTGTCTATAAGGAACTAGACCTTATTTACTTTAGAACATGTAAATTGTCAGAAATCTAAGTGAATATACAAAGCTTAAGATATTTGTTTAATGGGTTAATTGACATGATTACAGATCGCAAAACAAGAATCCTAAAACTTGCAAGTTAGTTTTAACCATTCATCCATGCTGGCCTAAAAGGATTATCAAGCTAGGTGTATTTTTTTTAGCATCACAGGTGCTCAGTAACCCTTTGGGTTTAGTGCTTAATGTGATGGACATCAAGGCAGCACTGTATGACCCTTGCAGGTTTAATGCTTAGTTTTAATATACACCCCTCTTCAAGGGGGGCTCCTTGGCATGGTGAAGAGGCTCTTGGTCTGAGGAATTAGCCCTGTCGGTCTTCTTCCTCAGACCGAACCTAATTACCCCCCATTCTCCCCTCCCCTATCCCATCCTCCCCTTTTTCCATTCCTCCTCCTCCTCCTCACCCCTCCCTTTTGCCCTTCCTCTTTTTGGCCTTCAGGATTTCTCCCACAGGCGCGCTAGTTCCTAGGTAGGGGAAAGGACACCGTGGTCCATCCCATTCCGTTGAGGTTCTTGGCGGTGGCGTAGTTTGCCGTGGAATCTGGATTGCCTGGGGATGTCTCGATCCCTCTCCGGTATCCCGGAGTACTTTGGGTGTTTTCGGGCGAGGGGTTTGTATCTCTGGAAGCCACCTTTCGGATTCCGGGGGTGGTGGCCGAAGGAGGTATGCTTTGTGGCGGATATCCAGCCGCCCTCTCTTTTGTCCACCGAGGTAGCTCGGCAGATGTGAGGTTGCTATCCCGGATTGCTGGTTTACTGGCATAAAGGGGTAGGGTATGGCACGGTTTTCATGCTGCATCTGCGCTACTAGGGGTTTGCTGAGGTCCTCTTGGGCGTGGAGGGAGATTTCCGGCCCTTTCATTCCTCCTGGGAACTATTCCTCCCCGCTCCCCCCCCCCCCTTTTTTTTTTATTATTTTTCTTTTTTTTTCTTAAAAACAAAAAGCAAAGGAGTAACCTAACCATGGCAGCCCAGCCCCTTTGAACCCACCCCCGGGGCCCCTTCTTGATACCGCACCCCATTTTTACCCTCCCTTGTGTTTAGACCACTCTTTCCGGACACCCCTTTGATGCCCCTGTACCTCTTGCTGGTGCTGTTCCTCACCCGCTTCGGGTACCGGGGCTTCAACTGACTCCTTCGATTTGTCTGAACTCTGCTCTCCTTTGACTATGCTTCCGGCTTCTCCCTCTACGGTACGGCAATTTTTCGAATCGCCCGCCTTTTTTCACGCCGGCCCAAAACTCCGGTCCTACAACCGAACGCCAACGTCAATCTCCTGATGCTCCTTCATTACCTTCCCATTCTACTGGGAAAAGACAGACACGCCCAAGCCTCCCTCCCCCACGCTCAGTTTCGGATCACACAATGGACTAAATTCTTTACTTTAAAAACCGACTTCTGCCTACCTTTCTAAACCATAGTATTGGCAAAGCGCTCCTGCGTCATTTTGGGTAAAGGATATTTCATTTCATGCTCTCAAGAGCGGTATGCGCATTGTCACTGTCCAGAATGCTACCCAAGCTCATGATCTTTCTCTCCTTTCGAATATCGATAATACTCCTATCACTATTGAAAAACATCTCTCTCAATTCTTGTAGTGGTACTGTCATTCTGCCCCATACCATAGTCCAACAGAATTTCCAGTCATGTGGCAATGACATTTTTGAACAGCTGGAACTCCAGGATCTCCCAATCCTTAAAGTAGACACTTATGTCCTTCCTGCCCGGGGGCGGAGACGTTACCCTTGCAATGTGGCTTGTTTAACTTTTGACAGCCGAGAACTCCCGTCCTCTGTATATGTCGCGGGACATAGGTTACAAGTTCGAAAGGTGATACCTACACCGCAACAATTTTAGAAATTGCTGGCTTTTTTGGTCACCCACGAAATATTGCAGATCTAGGGCCCGAATGCCCAGTCTGGGGTGCCGACGACTATTCTAATACATCTTGCAGTCAACCTCCATCTTGCCTTAATTGTAATGAAGCTCACCCTTCGTACTCCCGCCGTTGCCAGGTCTACTTGAATGAATGTGAAATGCGTTGCCTCAAAGAGGCAGGTCTCCCTTATGCTATGGCAGTTACTCAACTCCGCCTCCAAGGGAACTACCCCGTGTTTCTTATTCTCGTGTTTCCAAACATCCCCCTACTTCTGGGGTCCCATCTTCTGCAGCCTCCTCTGTTGTTACCCCTCCCATAGCCACTACGGCATCTAATCCTTTTGCTGTCCTTGGCTTTGACGTCCCGACTACAACTCAGTCTGTTCTCACATCTTCGCATCCTTCCTCACAAGCCCCAGTATCGACAAGACCTCGTACGACACCTACACCAATCGCCCCTCTACTCAGAAGTCCAAAAAATCCACATTGCTCAAATCTTCTTTGCCCCCTTTCCCTTTCCCCTTTCTTCCACCTCCACACTTTACCTTCCAGTCTCTGTACCTAGTTCTTTCCCCTCTCTCTGGCTCTATTACAAGTGTAGAGATTCACCCTCCTCCTCGTACTATGCCTTCCACCCCTGTCCCCTCCCAAGTTTCTCCCTCTTCTGCCACCTCCCAGGTTTCTGCCTCTTCTGTCCCCCCCCTCCCCACACTTCATCTCCATCCCTTTACACTCTTCCCTCCCCCTCTACTTTGGTACAGTCCATTACTGTCCCAATCTTTACTCACCCTCCTCCTTCTATCTCCAATATGGTCTCCCATACATTTTTTTTAATTCAGAAACACTTGAAGCCATTTTCAGATATATTGCAGAGACTAAACCTTTAATGGACACTGATTCACTTCCTGTTCCTTCTCTTCCCTCTCCTCCATCTTCACAACCCCATTCTTCGCAACGCTCCGTTCCTTCGCTACTTGAACGTCTTCCAATGCCACCACACGGTGACTTTTCAACCCTCTAGTACGTAGGTGCCTTTACCTACAGATTCCTGGTATTTTCTTCATCGCCAATCGTGGCCCATTTACAGTGGAATATCCGCGGCCTCGGGTAATCGGGGCGAGCTTCAGATGTTGCTTTCCAGGTTTTACCCTGTTGGTGCTTGCTTACAAGAACCAAAATTACACTCTGCTGTTTTCCAACCTATCTCAGGCTATAATTTATTGTATTCTTCGGATCCTTTCTCAGATGGGACTTTTAATGAAAGTGCCCTTCTTCTACGCAATAATATTCTGTACTGTCAACTATTTGTCCATACCTCGCTGCATTACACTGCAGCCCGTATCCACTTTAAGTGGTTTACAATATGTTCTTTATATCTCTCTCCTCGGGCATTTTCTATCCCAGACTTTGCCTTTCTTGTTTCATCCTTACCGCCACCACTTCTGTTACTTGGTGATTTTAATGCCCACCATTTCCTCTGGGGGGGGGGGAGGTCTCATTGTGACTCACGTGGCATCCAGTTGGAGGCTTTTCTCGCCTCTCACCCCCTCCATGTTTTAAATACGGGTACTCCCACCCATTTTGATCCTCGTACTCATACACACTCTTGCATCGATCTATCAGTCTGCTCTTCCTCCACTGCACTAGACTTCACCTGGTCTGTTCTACCAGACTTCTCCTTCCTATACTTCTCCTTCCTATTCACCACCTTTCCGTAGCCCTCGCTGGCAATTTGATCGGGCAAATTGGGATCTTTACTCACACCTCACTGCTTTTAGTGAGGTTCCTTCTTCATCCTCCATTGATGAGCTCCTACACATCTTCTCGACGTCAGTTTATACTGCAGCTTCTCATTCTATACCACAAACCTCAGGCAGGCATTCTCAGAAGTGCGTGCCTTGGTGGTCTCCTGCTTGTGCTCGTGCAGTATGTTTGAAACGTGCTGCATGGGGCAGGTACCGATACAATAGAACCGCTGAGAGACGTCTTGATTTTAAGCAGAAGCGTGCGATCGCTCGCCGTGTCATCCGTGAAGCTAAACGCACTTGTTGGCGAGACTGTTTCCACCATCACCTCTGCTTCTATGAGTGCAGTCTGGAAAAAAGTGAGGAAATTGAGTGGTAAATACTCTCCTGACCCGGCTCCTGTTCTACGGGTCGCTGGTGTTGAATGTAGCAAACCCTCTCGACGTTGCCATTGAACTTGCACACATCTGGTTCCGTATTTCCCCAGGGCTCCATCTAGCCCCTCGTTTCTTTCCTCAAAGCTGCCAGAGAGTTTTGTACCCTTGGACTTTTCTTCTCTCAGAGAAGAACAGTAAAAATGTGCCTTTTACACTCAAGAACTGGGGGCAACGCTCTCAGCTTGCCGATCATCGGCAGCTGGGCCTGACGACATTCATATTCGTACGTTACAACCCCTTGCAAACGGGCAGCCCTTGTAGTCCCTTTACACCTCTTCAAACTTATTTGGGGACAAGGGGTTCTTCCCCAGCTGTGGAAATCTGCCATTGTTCTCCCCTTTCCGCAAATCGGGTACTACAGGACATGATGCCTCCCACTATCGCCCCATCGCTCTTACTATGCAGTTTTTTCAAAATGATGGAAACGTCTCGTAAATCGACGTTTAATGTGGTATTTAGAAAACACAAAACAGTCCCTCCGCTAGCAATATGGCTTTCGTAAGGGTCGTTTTACCATAGACCCCTTACTACGCTTGGATACATATGTTCGTAAGCCTTTGCGAATAATCACTCAGTTTTGCCATATTTTTGACCTTGAGAAGGCATATGACAACTTGGAGGTATAATATTTTGGCCCAGACCCATTCCTTAGGCCTCCGAGGCAATCTACCATACTTTCCCTTTA